TCCAAGGTGGGAACAGGAAGGGCTATCTCCCTCCCATTACCCCATCTGGAAGAGAAAAGCGATGTCAATGAAGGACTTGGCCTACCATTACAATGGTGAGACCGATTCCCTTCTTAAAATGGTCTTGACCTGACCAAGACAGGCTATTCAGTTTTCCCACACTGAATCTATCCTTGTTCCATCCAATGGTCCTGCTACTGCTAGGTTCTTGGCCACCCATGACCACCCTGCTCATGTCTCTGGCCTTCTATGCCCTCCCCCCACTTCCCATGGCATAGCCTCAGTTTCTCTTTGGACCCCAATACCCTACACAAAAGGATCCTTGCTCTTGTCTTCCTGTCTCTCCCTCAGACTAGGGTTGAGAAACTTCCCACAAAGAACTAGATAGTATCATCCATGGCCTTGCAAGCCAGTCTCTTCGGCCATGATTCACTCCTCCCTGGACACTGGGAAGCAACTGTGGGCAAGGCAAGCACTTTTGACAACACTCTATGCACGGACTCTGTAGTCTTGAATTCAAATTAACCTTAGGGTGTCACAAAACATTATCTATTTTTCTTCTTTTTTCTAATACTAGAAATTGGTCTCTGGGCCTTGTGCATCCTAGGAAATGTCATACCATTGAGTTTTAACTCTAGTGTCCCCAGTCATTTTTTTTCAACTTTAAGAAAAGATTTGTTTATTTTTATTTGTGTGTGTGTGTGTGTGCCTACGTGAGCATATGTGCACATATGAGACCAAAGGGGACTGGATCACCCAGAACTAGAGTTATAGGCAAACTGTCTGATGTGCGTGCTGGGAATGGAACCCAGGTCCTAGGCCAGAGCAGTGAGTGCTCTTGACTGAGCCATCTCCCAAGCCCGCCCTCCTTGGTACAGTTTTTTAGTGCAGTGTGAGAACACGGGGTGGCAGGTACAGTGAAAGACCCACCCGGATTCCTGCTTTTTGCCTTGAGAGAGCATCTCACTAAGATGCCCAGGGTAGGCTTGAACTAACTCACTCTCTAACACTAGAAGGCGTTGAAGATGGTGTCCGGTTTCAATCTCCTGAGTAACAGGGAATACAGGCTTGAGTCACCACATTCAACGACATGGTTCAATGATAATTCTTACATTTATTTTTAACTTCTATTTCCAAACTAGAGTTTTCGTATTGGCATTCTGCATCTTTGTTTCTTTGTTTGCAGAGTGGGCCACATTTGAATCTTGAAACTGTACTTTGCTGACCTTGGACACAACCACAGCCTTAGCTCTCCCTGCCTGGCTTTTGTCGTGGGAAGGAGGATCCAACAACACATTTAGCTTCCTAGACTCTCCCTTCCTTACAAAGTTTCTTAAGCCCAGCCCCAGAATCATGTACTGTTCTGTGGCTTTAAGTGAATTACCCAGAATGCCCTCTGGTATGTCAACATCACCTGCCCTGGGAGTTTCGGAAGAACAAGATTTGGCTGATGTCGCCCTGGGGTAGCTATGTGGAAATTTTAGGGGCTCAAATGCCAGTGGCCTAGCAGAGGAGCAGGGGCACTGAACACAGGTACACCAGGGTTTGTATCTAGTCTCAGCATTTCTAACAGGTAGGGAAGGTGACCAGCTGTCCAGTTGGCCCCAGACGTCCCTGGCTTTAGCTCTGAGGTCCCATGACCTAGAAAGAGCTTCTGGTCTTGGGCAAACCAGGATGTCAAGCTGCCCTCTTTTGACATTGTTCCCCTTATCCCTGGGTTACTCACGACACAGTCCGTCCTGGAGTGGCTCTGGGTGGCTCTCTGAGCTGCAGAGTGGCTTGTGGCACTTGGGAAAATAAAACCTTCTGCTCCCCACTTGCTGTCTCCAGATCTGCTAATGATTAACGAAGAGGACCATGGGTACAACACAGACTCCTCACAGGAAGTGAGCCAGCCTCCCCCAGGACAACACCCTTCTACCCTCCCAGGGCACTCTCGGATGGTTTGCTTCTTTGTATTTGTGTCATGGGTTTTCCTAGGAAAGACCAAGAGAGAATGTGCTTTGTGAATGTAAACTTAACCTTTTCTGGGCTTCAGTTGGCTGACTCCTGCCCCAAAATAAAGATCATACTAGAACAAGCGCAGCAAACACTGGTGTCCTCAGGAGTCAAGTGTCACTGTGAGGAATGGTGGCACTGTCGCTGCAGAGAGAGCTAGTTCTCACGGGCCAGATGCCGTCAAATGAGGGTGGGAGACTGCCCAGTGCCTCAGCGTTTCAGCTCTAGAATGTAATTTCTGAGACTGGAACCCCTGAGATGTCACACTTGGGACCCCAAGGCTAGCACATCTAGTATGGAGATGAGATTAGCAGTAAAGGGGGTGGTAGGTCATAGGTCAACTGCAGGTCTGGACCAGCTAGGGTCGAGCACGTGAGCACCAGGACAAGGCAAGAAGTGCGTCCCACTGGGGTATTCCCATCGCTCACCTCTCCACTCCCCCAAGAAGGGCTTTTCTGTTCAGACACCAGGGGTACCCAGACACCAGTCAGGCCCCACCACTTGCTCCAAGATTGTAGCCATGTCTTTTCTGGCACCTGTCACTTCTCTCTCGTAGGACACACAGTATGTCCCCACTGTGAGCATCCACTGGCTGCCCTTTGGCTTCTGACGCCTGCCCCTGGCATGTTAGGACAGAGATGGGGGTTTGGAGGGGCAATGGGCCATGAAGGAGCTCCCAATCTGGGTCTGATAACTGGCCAATCAGCTCATAGTAAACACTTGGGGATCAGTTCAACTCAACCTTGGCTGTGGGGTGACTCTTACAACCTCAGGTGAACCTAAAACTTGTCCTGGGACTTGGAGTGAAAAGGGAGATTTGAGGTATGGGAAGTTCACCTGGCCCTCTGCCCTTCTTAGTTTTAAATTGATTCATTGATTGATTGATTGATTTATTTGTTGGGGGGGACAGAGAACAACACCATGGAGTCAGTTATCTCTCCACCTTTATGAGGGTTTCAGGGATCAAACTTCAGGGTCTCCAGGCTTGCACAGCAAGCACCTCTACATACTGAGCCCTCTCATGAGCCCCTTTGCTCTTCTGACAATGCCAGAGCCACATCTCACCAGACACCTCTTCCCACAGACAGAAATAGAAGTTGCCAAGTCTGGAAACAGAGAGGAGAGAGCCCTGGCCACACCACAAAGGGCCCATCCTCTCCAAGCCAAGCCTTCCCTGCAGAGTCAAAGAAGAGAAGCCCTGTGCAACAGCTTGCATTTTGGCACCTGAAAATTCTCAGTGTCGAGGGGCGGGAAGTTCTGCTCAACAGCAAGTTGAGCGAGCGCTGTCCTGAAATCGACCCCTGCCCCATGCTATGCAGGCACACGGCCCTGGAATCAGATCTCGGGCTCTGGAGTAGGTCCTGAGGAAGGGCGTGGAACATTCCAGAAAGGAATGAACTGCCAAACACAAGAAGAGCAGAGGGATGGGATGGCAATGAGAGTTCTGTGGCTCCGGTCTTGGAGTAGTGGCCTCATGTGGCTCTTCTCCCCTATAGACAAGCATAGCTGGTGCTCCACGCTGAAGGGAGAGTGCAGCTGGGACACACGGAAATTCAGTAGCTAGGCAACTAGATCAGACTTCTGAGGGAGGCTAAAGAGATGAGAGAAGACACAGCCACAGTTCCACTAGAAGCCACAGTTCAGCCACAGTTCCTGTTGTCACGGAAACCCTCTGGGAACAAAACAGCTGTAGACCCTCTTCCTCACACTGCAGGGAGGAAACACTGGAGAGAAACATTCCAGGATGAGCCAGGAGAACGCCGGTTTCCAGCCTGCCACGGGTCTATGAGTGGGAAGTCAGGGAACAGATAAGCTGGGCATTCCATGTCATCTGGAATAATGGGGTGCCAGAGGTGGCAGGGTCAGATGTGCCTGAAGGTGCTTTGAACACATTAGGTTTAAAAGGCAAACAAACAACCCAAAGAATGACAGCGTGGCTCAAAAGGCAGCAGGGACTGCAGCAGTGTGGCTCATACAGCAGGCTTTTTGGCTCCATGGGCAGCAGCAGGGACTGCAACAACCTTTGTGGAAGGCAAAAAAAAAAAAAAAATTCTCAGCCAAGCAGGATGGAGTCACCAGATACCCTCACAGATCTTGTCAGACCAGTCCCAGCACAAGGCAGCCTGGAGAGTGGACTTCTCCAGCAAGACTCATTGGAAGAGAGAGACTTGAATAGGAATCCTCGCAGTGGAAAGGTAGATGCTCCACAGCCTCCAAACCCGAGAGCCTGGCTCAGAAGACTCATGGGAAGGTGTCAGGAGGTGGGGGGTTCAAAGGCACATTTGCCATGCATCTCTCTATCTCTGTCACCCTCCCTCTCTCCCTTTCTCTCTGTCCCTCCCTGAAAGCATCTTTCGACAACCGGAAAGAGACCCTCAAGATCAGGCCTGTTGACATGACATTCTCTCCTAGAAGGAAACAGTGGGAAGGTCATCGGAGCCTCTCTTGAGATGCTAGTCACTCTATCTGTACTTCCAGTCAGTTATAGGTGTCTACTCTTGCTGCATGGGGCTTCCTGGTCCCCACAGTGTTAGAGTGCATAGCCATTGAAAGGCAGCTGAAGGCTGCATCCCATCTGTGCAGCTGTGGGGAAACTGTCCATGCCTATGGCTACTTTACATCTCCTCAAAGAAAGAGTCCCCAGAACATCACAGAACTAGGTCGTTACAATGGCAATAAGGCGATCACAGGAGCTTGTAGAAAACCTCCTTGTCTGCTTCCTGGGGAGTCTGATCTCAAGTCGTCACTGCCCAGAATATGGCAAGTGCCAAGGCTGTGTTCTCAGGAGGCCAAGTGGCAACAAATCTTTATGGGAAGTATGGATATGATACCGCTGGATTGGACAGAAAAGCTTTCGGTGTGCCTGTCCCTTGCTGCTTGTTTATTTGTTTAGAACACACTGCAAGTTCACCTGGCAGATGAGCGTCATTCAACAGCACACGTGGACAAATGATGTCAGAGGAGGTGGGGAGGCCTGGGGCCAGGCTCTTACATCAGTTCTTAGCGGTCACCCGCACACAGCAGGTGCTACTGACCCTGCATGCTGAGCAGACAAAGGCTCCATTGCTCTCCTGGAAACCACGTTCTCCTGGCCGTGGGACTCCACTCTGGCTGGAAGGTATGGATGATATTCCGCTGTAGTGTATCACCCAAAGATGACTCCAGAAGCAACCCCCGTTCTTCAAAGGAAGTCAGAAATTCAGATTTTTAAAAATTTAACCATTCCAGTTCCTAATCACGGGCCCCAAATTTCAAGACAGCACCGGTATGAATGGGTTTGGCTAAGAGAACATGAAGTTCTTCTCTCTCAGATCTGTACTCTGTAGGGATGGGGGGAATTCAGGTAAAATCAGAGAGGATCAAAGCGGCTATTCACAAAGGGGGGAAGAAAGCTGCTGGACTTACCCTATCTAAATTCAAGACACACTCAGGGATACATCCAACAGCCACATGGGAGACCCCAGGGTGGGGAAGGGGAGGGCTGAGTACACAGAGGGCACATCAGCAAGCTACAAGGCACAGCAGCGCCAGTTGCTTCTGAGCGTCTGTCCCAGAGACCGTGGTAAAAACCCTCATTCTCGAGTTCTCAGTATTCCTCATTGTCCGCTATGCTCAGCCAGTCCGAATCTATCCCATGCTTTTTCAGACCTAGGCCAGCTGGCCTTGGTGAGTTCCCGATAGAACATCCCCATTGTCTCAGGAGCCTGGGCAGTTTGGATGCTCACCTTGTGAGACCTGGATAGAGGTGGGCGGTCCTTGGGCTTCCCACAGGTCAGGGAACCCTGATTGCTCTTCAAGCGGATGAGGGAGGGGAACTTGATCGGGGGAGGGGGAGGGAAATGGGAGGCGGTTGCGGGGAGGAGGCAGAAATCCTTAATAAATAAATAAATTAAAAAAAATAAAGTTAAATTAAAAAAAAAAAAACCCTCATTCTCACTATTCCTGTGGGAATGGATGTCGTGTCCCTGAGAGTCATCCTGCCTCTCTTCACTGAGATCACCATGAGTAAGGAAACCCACACCTCTCCAAGCAGGGTCACACCAGCTCCCAAGCCTGCATTCTTCCCTGACTTGACTCTTGTACTGAGCGTGCACACGAACCTCACATTCTTATATTTCAATCCATTTTCAGGGCCATCCTCCAGATACCAATTTGCATGAGAGGGATTGCAGACCACCAGAGTCCAGCAGATGGCAGCAGTGCGCTTCTGGGGTCTCTGCAGAAGCCCTGCCTTTCCTGACTTAATCTCAAAATCTCAGGAAGCAGCCATGGGCTGAGTGGGGCCTCAGAGCCACAGGCAAGCAGCATTCAAGGTGACTTTTGTCACCTGGGGACTTTTTTGGCTTCTACAGCTGAGGAGAGACCTAACAGGCATCTATCTCATAAGGAGACACGGGTGAAGCTGTTGAAAACCCTGGAATGGAGGTAGTATGGGAGAATTGTCTTTATTTTGTCAATCATGTTTCAAATAAACGCTGATTGGCCAGGCAGAAAGTATAGGCGGGTTAACCAAACAAAAAGTAGAGGCGGGGCAACAAGAACAGAAAAATGCTAAAAAGGAGGAAGCCCATTCCCCCACAGTCCTGCCCAGACCACCGAAGAAGCAAAATGTAATCTGCCCCGTTAAAAAACATATACTAAAATAATGGGCTAATATAAGTTATAAAAGCTAATACAAAGCCTAAGATAATGGGCCAATCAATTTATAAGCTGATGCAGACTCTCTGTGTGATTTTCTCTGGGACTAAATGGCTGGGGAACCAGACGGGACAAAAACCCCAACTAACAGGCCTTCGTGTTACACAAAGGATAGTTATCGCTTATGGTAAAAATGATCCAGCTCAAAAGTCGGCTTAGCTAGGGCTGGGAAATCTCTGTACACAGGTAGGCAAACTGAGGACACAAAGGGCAGCTTTACTGTGTGCTGTTTCTGTGATGGCCACATAGTGTGACTGCAGATGGGGAGCCCAGCTTAGCCTCCTGCCACAGGCTGCCTCTCACTGCAGTCCTACTGTGTGGTGGTCACAGGGTTGGTTGAGAAAAGCAAGGCAGAGCGATGGTCTGGGCTGAAAGAGAAACAGGAATCTGAAAGCAGACAGATAGAACAAAGCAGGGCCAATGTCCACGTGCCTGTTCCAAAGGTGTGCGACCTCTCTCTCCACTCCCTTCGCCTCTCACCTGAGGTGCCAGGATGCATGCAATCTTTGTGGGCTTTATATCCATAAAGGTTCTCACACGTATCAAGGGCTCAGATGTAGCTGACAGCACTCTTAGAATTGGTCATATTATAAAATCTTAAATATGTCACAAATCTCTCCACACAGAAAAAGACATGGAAGTACGGAGGAGAGACCCATTGAGAATAGGTCTATCCAGAGAGAGAAAGGAAAGAAGAGGGAATGGGGTGTGAAAAAGACTGCAATTCATTATGTAAATCCATGAAACCTGCAAACAATTAAAATAAATAAATAAATAAGCACATATATCAATGATATTGCTAGTTCTATGTCTCAAGCTAATGCCCCCCCCTCCCATTCTCTTTGGCACAGTTTCTAGTCTTGTCAAAATCAAATAATGGACCTCAAAGGCTGGGACCAGGGATTGCTTCTTATAGACAAAGGAAGAGATGAAGGAGGGTGGTGGGGACACTCAGCTGACAGGTGGTGACCCTGGAGGAGTGTGAGCTGCTTCCCACCCCAGAGCCTGGGCTCTGAATCCCAGCCCCACTTTCCCAAGGAAGGAATGGGGTAGCATGGACTGCTGCTCAAGTTACTGCTTGGGTGACAGTAACACATTCACCTCCCCAGTACTGCCCAGGGTCATCAATTCCACCATCTTCACTCCCAGAGATGGTGAAAGAGTCGACAGAAATATATTTGCCCCAGACTCTGTGACTACCCCACTTTACCCCACACCTAGCCAAGGGTCTAAACCAGGTTGCCCCTTTTCTGGGGTCCTATTTTTGTAACTTCACAATATACCCCTACCTCATCTCTTTCCTGTCCTGGACTGTCTGACTACAGTGTGCCAGTTTAATCCTCTGGCACATGTTATAGTGTTAACAAGAAAGAACCCTGTGGAGGAAGCACTTCCCGGTCTGTGTCCTCTGAAGCTACACTGCTGTATTCTGACTTGAGTTTCTGCCACACTCTGCTTGGCTGTATCCCAGCATCCTCTCCAGGCTGTGGGTTGCTCAGCTTTGAGGAGAGGGTGCTAATGTCTGTATGCAGCACCGTGGGAGGTATTTCCTGAGGAAAGAGACATGCATGTGTGCATGCATATGTGTGTGTGTGTGTGTGTCGGGGGGGGGGAGTCCTAAATTTTAAATAACCAGGATTCACTTGTGAACCATAAAGTGTGAACCAGAATTTTGTGACCATATCACAGTCCCTGGCGTATGGTCAGTTCTAAATTTTGGGTGTTATTCTGCCCCCACCTCTAAGAATGCAGTGGACAGATAATGGAGGAAAAACCAACGATAGTGTATCTGTTAATTTTCTGTTGTTCTGAGAAAGCACCATGACCAAGAAAACTTACAGAAGAAGGGGTTGATGTTGGCTTAGAGATCCAGAGAGTTAGTAGTTCATCATCCCAGGGAGGTGGGATAGCAGGTGTGGCAACGGAAACAGGAAACTAATAGGTCACATCTTCAACCACAGCATGAAGCAAAGAGAGAGAACTGGAATGGGATCTCTGCAATTTTTGTTCTCTCAGCCCTCAGTATGAACTTTGTGCAAGGCTATCCCACCAACTCTCACTAAACAGCGCCACCTACTGGAAAGCATGTTCAGATGCCCGAGACAACTCAGCACAGCAGGGAACTTCTGATCTATAACTCAGAAACACTGTAAATAGGAGAGTGGAAATTGTAATGGACAAGTGGAAACTGAAGCCCTGGGTGGCAACAGGGTGTGCAAGCATGTCAGCCAAAAACAAACAAACCAACAAAAACAAAATACTTGTGGGCAAATGTTTTCACTCTGAAACTCTTGATTGGTCTTCTGAATACCTGCTGAGAGCAGTCTCTGACAGAGCAGTTCCATACAGAATGGGTCACTGGTGAGAGTAGCAGGGACAATGGACCTCCCATCCCCGGCAGCTCTTGCTATATTGGTGGGGTCTGGAGGGCTGGAGCAATCTCCCTTCGTTTTCTCCTCCAGGGGGCAAAGAGATGTGATGACTCTGGCCCTGCATCTTCAGTCTCCCTCTTCTGAAGAGCCCTAGCAGTTGGCTAGATGGTTGGACCCCAGCCTCGGTCTAGAAGGAGCCAGACTAGAGAAAACCATATGCACACCCTGTTATATGGAGCCAGCGGGGCCCAGGTGGACTGACTCGTGTGTGTGTGTGTGTGTGTGTGTGTGTGTGTGTGTGTGTGTGTACATGATTACATGCAAATTATACATAAAATAGGACCAATCAGGAGAGGGAGGGAGCTGTTGGCAGACCTGAGACTGAAAAGCAAAAGCAAACTCAAACCCGATCGTGTTCTCAGTAGCCCATAGACCTGGTCCAATGCTACTTTGGACTCTGGCTGCTCACTGGAATGAACAGGAAAGCCTGGTTCCTCTCACATCCAGGGTTCCTAAGCCCAGCCACTTCAGAGTTCAGGAGTTCGAACTGATGTTGAGACCTCTTCTGTGGCTGCTAGCTGGGATGGTAGTGGCAGAACTGGGAGTCAGGGTGGAGGCTTCTCTCGGCTGGTCACTGAAGGCCAGCGTCACTGAGGTTTGATTTGCTTCCTGGCTCTCTTTGATTGAGAAACCTTAGGGATTGCCAGCCTACGCTACGGGCACCCTCTGTCACTGTCTCTCTTACATTTTTCACTGATAAAGATGGACGTTGGGTTTAACTTTTCTAGAGATAAATGTGGCAACAAGAGTTGCTGTGGATTTGCAGGCGCATACTTGCTGCTTATGTGTTCAGACAGAAGAGGCGCTCATGGCAGAGACTTAGCTCTCTGGGCTTTGGGTGTTAGCAGCCCCTCCCCAGTCAGCTAGTCCTGTGGTCCCTGAGTTTTGCCTGTCAGAATTCTGTGCCCTTAACTAACCCGTGGTGGCTCTTACAACTTCACCTTTTGTGTTAGTTTGGGCTTCTATTGCTGTGATGAGACACCATGACCATGGCAACTCTTATAAGGGAAAACACTTAATTTGGGTGGCCCGCTTAGAGTCCAGAGGTTCAGTCCATTATCATTATGGTGGGGAGCATGGCGGCATGCAGGCAGACATGCTGAAGAGGTAACTGAGAGTCCTTCATCTTGTAGGCAGCAGGAAATAGTCTGTCACACTGAGCAAAACTTGAGCAAAAGAGTCTCAAAGCTCACCTCCACAGTGACACACTTCCTCCAGCAAAGCCAAATCTACTCCAACAAGGCTACACCTCCTAAGAGTGCCATTCCCTTTGGGGGGCATCTTCTTTCAAACCACCACACAGTGTTATAGTTTCTTGGTATCAGCTGCACAGTTTCTGCCCTCCACCGCTCTCGTGGACTCTCCAACTGTCTTCCCACTGTTGCTAAAATCCCTCAGAAGACCTTGCTCTTCGTGTGGCAGCCCAGTCTTTTCCAACTGTGAAGAAGACTGCGATCCAACGATAGTAGGTGTGTAGAGAAGCCTTTGCTGGGACCCAGTGCTGCTATGCAACACTGGGGACTAGTACACAGACGAGGAGCCTCTCAGATTGACCCTACACTGTTGAAAACCAGCCCGTGTACATAGCCAGAAAAATGGTGCAGATCACTCCTGCATGGCTTCCAGTTCAGCAACCATAGCCTGACTTATGTGTGGTGCCAACCCCAAGCTTCTCATTTCTGCCAATCACAGACTTTTTGTTAAGAAACCGGGGAGGAGAAGCGAAGCTCCCCCCACCCATCCACAATGAGAGCAGCTGCAGGATGGGAAGGGTCTGTCAGCTGTCAATCAAATGACAGCCTGACTTACTTTTGTCAATTTGCTCATTTAAAACATCAAAAGAGTGTTTTTAATGTACAAAGAACACAAAATTAACATTTTCAACAGTCCTTAGCAATAATGAGACCTGGCCATGGGAGCACATACGGCCAGCCTCACCCCTTGGAAGCCAAGGCAGGAGAATACAGGGTTCTAGGCCAGCCTGGGTACAACAAAAACCCTGGCTCAAAGAACAATAGGAACAAAATACTACTTCATTCCTAGATAAGATTCCTAGCCCCAGACCCTAGGGAAAATGGTTCTCCCATATTTTTCTCTGGCTGAGTTAGTACTCCTCCAGGACCTCCAGGTCTGACCAGAGCCAGCACAAGTTCCCATGTTGGGTCATCATGGGCCTACCTGGGGAATTTCCACACATCTCTGATGGAAGGCTCTCAGTACTTCCCATATACTCCAGAGAGCCACACCCCTTAAATAAACAACTGATCTGTGTTTCCCTGTCTGCTGCTTCTCTCTCCCTACTACCTGTTTCATATTATCCAGTTTATGGGGGTCATGTGGTTTTACAGTTTGGAAAGAAGAATGGAAGTGGAGACAAGAGAAAGAAAGTGAGGTGGAAGAGTGTCTGGGAGACCCTGCCTAGGAGCTGGCAGGAGAAAAACAGAGGAAGGGAGAAAAGGAAAGAGGGAGAGAGAGATGGAGGGAGAGAGAAGCAGAAACCTGTTAAAGCAATGGTCACTGATAGAAAAAGTATAAAACAATCAACTTAATTTGGAGATTTGCTCCCATTGGGGGTTATGGGTGGGGCTCCAGACCTGGGAATTCACTTTTAAAGTTTCCAGATCTTCCCTCCCCACTCCTTCTTCACTGCTCTCTCCTAGCATATCTCTCTCTCTCTCTCTCTCTCTCTCTCTCTCTCTCTCTCTCTGTGTGTGTGTGTGTGTGTGTGTGTGTGTGTTGGGGGCAGGGACCAATCCTGGAAGCAAGGAATAGCTCCCTCTATGTCCCGGCTCTGTCAAAGCCTACTGACCACCACCCACCCAATCTTACTTCTACTTGCTGTGTGCTCAGCAAACTCATTTACTCAAAACCCAAAGAACAGTCATCCAAGCTTACTCCCTGAACTGCACAATCATGTCTCAGTACCCCTATTAAATGCAAGATATGTCTAGCCATCTCTCCAACAAATATTTATTGAGCATCCACTCCTGCACGGTACCATTTTAGGGCCCAGAAGATAAGAAACCTGTCCTTGAAGAGGTGATGCTAGTGTGTGCAGGAGACAGAGAGCAAACAGCTACTAGGCAACAAGCGCTAAGATAGTACCTAGCAGGACAGGGTTGCAGAAGGGATCAGTGTTTATTGCAAGGTCACCATGAAAAGTCCCTGGCATTTGGGTTGAAGCCTGGAGAAGCAGAGGTGGGAGCCTGAGAATCTCAGTTGGTAGCTGGTCAAGGGTTTGTGGGGCAGTGTTTCTCCACAGTGGGTCTGACACCCTGACTCCCTTAGAGAACAGTTAGTGAATGAGCCATAGCTGGTATATGCATATGGGTTCCATTCCCCGCC